ATTGGCAAAATGCTCGGTCTTTGCGTTAGCCGGACCCCCACCGGCGGCCCCACCTCATCCTTGACCACCATGGTTGGGGGGGGGGGGGGCAACGTGCATCCCCTCTGATGGCTGGAGGGAGACAACAAAGCTATGTTTGCAGGGGTCCCCTGTATTAGCCTTAGGAGTAATAGTAGGTAGGTAGTGAAGGTGAATTGAAAGAATTTGAAAGACAATGAAAGATTGAGAGAAGAATATAGCGTAGTTAAAAAAAAAAAAAAAAACTGAGTATGGATCGGTTATAAGCGGAGATGAAGAAAAGCAGATCAATAGCAGTTGTCCTCAAAGAGGACCAGATTTAGGCGTTAAATCCCATCCTCTGTGCTGGTGGGACCTCACCCGGCTTTCTTTTCTTTTTTTTTTTCCTTTTTTTTTAATGGTAAGTTACATTCTTCTCTCAATTTCACCTCACACTACCTGTCTACAACCACTCCTAATTATAGGCATAATAGAACCGTGTTCACGAGAGCAGGTGGGCAATACCCAATAGGGGACAGCCGGTAGCATGAGGGACCAAGCCAACAGGACCAATCCCTGTGCCTCTCCTCAGGTCCCCTTCCCTACGAGCATCAGCAGACTGGGACCATGCCAACAGGACCAATCCCTGTGCCTTCCCTCAGGTGGTGGTCCCCACCCCTACGAACATCAGCAGACTCTGCTCAATGCCCCGGATCCGGAAATCCAGTGGTCTATCTCTAGGTGGCGGGCGCCAAGCATGCCCAGGAAGGTACATGAGGCCAATGGGGATTGAACCCACGACCTCCTGAATGCCACTTGGGAGCCTTACCAACTGAGCTAGGCCGCTGAATGTATACACTTCCCCCAAAACACAAAAACAAAACCAGGCAGATGGATTACAGGCCCACCTGGCGCAAGGCCCCACGACCATACAGGATTGGATTCAATGCCTGAATCCGGCATGTTTTATGCAGAGATGCAGAAAAGCAGATCAATCAAAAAAAGAAAAAGAAAAAGCAGATCAATCGTGATTTTTCCCTTTCTTTTGAGGGGGGTGGAAAAGAGCAAGGAGCTGTAGGTTAGTTTTGGCTTCTTGGACCTTATGGCCCACAGGCCGTTTTAGACCCGGTATTCAACAGGCAACTGTATTTTAGTAGTTAGTGTGAGAGATTAGCTGAAATGGGAGTAGGTAGCAGCCTCCGCGCTGACTGGGTCTAGGAAAGACCCGCAGGCTATGCCTGTAAAAGCTAAGCTGAACGATGCCTGTAAAAGCTAAGCTGAACGATGCTTCCAGATACCTCCAGTAATGTCGAGGATCCCCGGCCGCTATCCCTGTTTATGAAATGAAAGTTGAAATTTGAGCAAGAAAAAAAAAGCAAAAAAAAAAGCAAGGAGTTTGATCAAAAGACCTAAAACACGAGGAGGTGGGTGGGTTCTGCGGGGCCTTTTTGGCCCCTGCCGCGCGGGAGGTAGGGTAATCCACTAGTTTGCAAAAACAGCATCATGGTGGGAGTTGGTGTTTTCTGTAGTGGAGATTGTGGGGGGAAGGCGCTATCCGCTCTGAATTGCGAGGAGGTGGGTGGGTATTGCAGGGTCTTTGTCTGCAGTTGGGGGCGGGTTGCAGGGTCTGCCAGCAACTTTAGATGAATGGGCCCAATGGGGAACATAAAAATGATTCGGCATACATGGCTGTCTGATCTTTTTTCTTCAAAAAAAAAAAAAAAAAAAAAAAAAAATGCGGCGTGGACTTCCTCACAAACAACCCTGTGTCACAATTGCAATTTTCTGCACCTCTCCACAGACCTGATGGATTCAGGCATTGAATTACCAGTACATCCGAGGCAAACTTCACCAGCCGCAGAACCCCCTGGGTGCCAAGGTTTGCAGCGCCACATTTGTGTGTTCTTTTGGCTGGTGCCGCCAGACATTTTGGTTGGGTCCGAACTGTTCGGATTGATGAATCGTGATTCTGTTTTTTTATTTTTTTCCTTCCAATCCTCTTCGCGAGTGGGACCTTGGTCCGGAATGCTAAATTCAAAACTAAGGAAGCAGACACCCTACCTGTTAGTGCTAGAAAAAAACTATACCTACCTGTTAGTGCTAGAAAAAAACTATCTGAGGGCATATTCACACTAGGACTTTTTCTACTTCTCTGTGGGCGTAATCGCCGTCATGTGCATCCAGGCTGGGTCGGAAAGGCAGTCATTTACGTCCAAGAAAGTCCTAGTCTGCGTATGCCCCGAGGGCACTGAGGGCATACTCACCTAGGTTGGACTTTTTCCACTGATCTTTGGACTTTTTCGCGGTCGGTCAGAATCCCCACCAATAGATGGAGCCTCCCCGGGCTTGCTAGAGGCGTCTGCTCTTATCAGCGCCCCTAGCATTCACCCGGCTTGTTCCAAAAAAAAAAAAAAAAAAAAAAAATCCGTCATATATCCAGGCCATAATGCTGATACGTCAAGGAATCCCCTAGGGTTAGTAAATGCTCTAGTGAACTCGCCTAGCTCAGGGATTGAGGCACACAACTTGTTTGCCTTCCCAGGGGGGGTGGTCGGTTCAATTGAACCCACCATCTAGTTCGGGGTGTGCTTGGCACCCTACCATCTAGTAAGGCACACAACAGTTTTCTGCCTGTAGAAGACACACCCTGTCCCATACACGACCAAACATGACAAGTATAGCGCAGATCCAAGGAGTTGACTCAAAACAAGAGACTATATAAACGCAGCGGAAGACTGAACATACATCTGACACAGCAATATCAGAATGGACAATGCACACTCATACATGCATCACACGGTGAGAAGGGGGCAGTGCAGCATACAAGGAA